CCTAACTGGGGGCTCTGTAGTCAACACAAATGGGGGTGTTCTGTGTGGAATACTGACCAGTTACATAGATGAGAAATTCCGTTTGTCATCGCTTCTCTGGGAAATGAGAACTCGGCATAAATCAGAGCATACCTACCGATGCTTGGCAATGTAGCTGTTTCCTAAAGTACTGATTTCAGTGGGGGTGAGCCTTGCTGGGGAGTTCCACAAGGTTCATTCTCTCTCTCTCTCTCTCTCTCTCTCTCTCTCTCTCTCTCTCTCTCTCTCTCTCTCCCACCTTCTCTCTCACTCTCTCTCTCTGGGCAAAAGAAAGAAATAAGTGTTACAGTTTAGATAAGTGTTCCCCAAAGATCCATCTGCTAAAGGCTTGGTCTCCTGGCTCCTCCCACCCCTCTGAAGCCAACCACCTGCATCTCTATTTGCCTACAGTCACACTGCCATGATTTCCTCGGCCTCCATCTTCTACTCTAGAAACTCTGTGACATTGGTCCCAGTGGGACAATGCAGGATAATCGCCTTAGTTTAAGGCCAGCTCATTAGCAACCTTAATTTCATTGTCTACCTTAATTCTCTTTGCAATGTAACCCAACAGACAAAGATTCTAGGAATTCGGATATGGATGTCTTCGGGGGACTGTTATTCTGTCTACTAGGCACAGGATGCATTACAGCATTCTTGCTGATGGGAATAATCCAATAGGAAAAAGAACTGGATGTTGCAGAAGAGGGCAGAACCACTACTGCGACATAAGCAAGGAAACAGAGATGCGGGCTTTTTAGGATCGAGGACCAGTTTCCCCTAGTCACCAACAGAAGGATCCTGGAGCAGATGTTGGGCAGGAGACAATAAAGCGGTTATTTTCTCAGTGACCTACAAGCAAGATCAGCAACTGTGAGTAACAACGGGGTAGAAGGGAAGATGGGCAGAGAACACGGCTCAGTAAGTGCTTACATGGCAAGCATGGAGATTGGAGTTTGATCCCAAGAACCCATGCTTTAAAATTAATTAATTAATTAATTAATTAATTAATTAATTAATTAATTAAAGCCAAGCATGGTGGTGAGAGTCAGAGATGGGCAGATCCTTGGGGTTTGGGCTTTGCTGGCCAACCAGCCTAGACTACCTAGAAGATTCCAGGCCAGTAAGACACCTATCTAAAAAAAAAAAAGTACATGAGGAACAATATCTAAGGTTTCCCTCTAGCCTCTACATGCATACACATACATGTGTATGTTTATGTGCATGCATGCATGTGCACATCACACACACACACACACACACACACACGAGATACATTATAAACCTGACACCTAAGAGAAAAGAGCATGACAGGGCTAGAGACACATCAGAAGCATCAAGGACCCACTTGAAGTCTGTGATCATTGCCTTAGAATATGATCACTCAATGTATTTCTTCCGGGCAAGCAGACAAAGAAATCTGCCACGTTAATGAGTCAGGGTTTCAAGCTCTATCACTCGAAATTTCAGGCCGAAGTTGTGTACTTACAAAGTTGCATGAATTTCTCCCTTAATCCTCACAAAAACTGAAAAATTAGATTATATTAATATTATCGTGGCGTTTTTCAGATGAGGAAACTAAAGGGGTTGCTAAAGTAAGCCTACACTGTAATTCTGGTTTTATGTATTAATTTAAAAGGGAGTTAAAACTCATAGTTGCATCATAAAATCAACTCAATAAATACAACCTGACCAATACATTTATTCATTATCAGTTAGAATCAATTATGTCAAGGTAACATTTTGAAATAACTTGTGATAGTAGGAATCTTTCTAACAACTGGGGCGGCCTTATCATGGTAATTGTTACTGTTCTTTTGGTATGCTTCATCTATATTCTGTCTTGAATATTGCTTAGTATTCTAATTTTTCTAGGCTTTACTTAGTTTTACTACTATAGAGCTAAGGGTTTAGCTCAATGGTCAAGTGCTTACTGAGTATGTACAAGGCCCTAGGTTTGAGATCAGAAGTGAAAAAAAATAGCATAGAGTAAGTTTATTCAAATATCCTTAATTCAATTCCACATTTCATTTTTTTTTTTTCTTTCCTTTTTGGAGACAGTCCTCAAACTAGTAGCTGAAGAGGACCGGATAGTCGGGCCTCCTCCTCCCAAGTGCACAGATTACAGGCACACACTGCCACTCTGGGTTTATAGAGTGCAGAGGATTAAGCTCAGGGCTTTGTGCTAGCAAGCACTCTACCAACTGTACTACACGCCCAGCCTGGATCCCACATTGCCTTTACCTTCTTTATCATTCCTCAACTTAAAAATAATTTTGATTAAAACCATTATATGAATGTATTAGAATTTCTAAGATATAATGAAAATATTACATTGAAAATAATTTTGGGGGCTGGAGAGATGGCTCAGAGATTGGGAGCACTGGCTGCTCTTCCAGAGGTCCTGAGTTCAGTTCCCAGCAACCGCCTGGTGGCTCACAGCCATCGATATTGAGATCTGCTGCCCTCTTCTGGCACGCAGGCATACAGGCAGGCAGAACACAGTATACATAACAAATAAACCTTTAGAAAAAGAAAATAATTCTGGGGGCTGGAGAGATGACAAAGTAGTTAAGAACACTTGCTGCTCTTGTAGTGAACCCGGTATCAGTTCCCAGCATCCACATGGTGGCTTACAGTTATCCATAGCTCCAGTTCCAGGGGATCCAATACCCTCTTCTGACCTTCAAGGGCACATGTTACACACAAATACATGCAAGCAAAACACTCACACATAAAATAAACTAAATAAATATAAAACGTTTTTAAGAAAAAAAATAATACTAAAATTAGAAACCAGAAATGCTTCAGTCCTGTTGACTTTTTTATACACTTCTAATGCACAATTTGTAGTCCATTTGTTGCTCTGGTGCTCTAAATTTAATGATCAGGCAGACTTATTTAAACATCCTCTTCATTTAAAAGACAAGAGCTCCTCCTGCTGTTTTCCTAGACTAACAGATTAATGCCCATTGTTTCATCATACAGATCTCACCTGCAGAGAATTAGAATTTATGTTGTTAAAACCAGAAGGACAGAGCTGGCGATGTGGCTTAGTCTGTATCGGATAGGGCAAGGTGGAGGCTGTGTGTAAGCCATGAAGGTCTTCAGCAAGAAGTGAACCAGCCAGTTCCTTAATCTTGGACTTCTCAGCCTCCACAAAGTAGAAAACAAATTCTTGTTATTTAAGATACTTGAGATTTTTATATATATATATACACACACACATACATGTATGTATGTATATATGGCAGCCATGTGAATTAATACAGATTTTTAATAGAATAGGAAATCTTGCAAAAACCACAGATACACATTGCTTAGTGATAAACATTTCTTTTTAATTTTTATTGCATTTACTTATTTTGTGGGTGTCAATGGACAGCTTTTTACAGGCTGGTGTTAGCCTGGAACAGCTCTCCCCAGCTGAGAAAGCCCCCCCCCCCCATTCCTGCCTCCCCAAACCCTGCTCTCTCAGAGAAACTGCCAAAATCCCAGTTCCAGGGCAGTGGCCCAAGACCCCGCCCAAAAGCTTACCATAGCAAGAACCCACCTTGGGGCATGTCATCACTCTGTGCCCCATGGGGTATTTAAACCACCCCCTTTAAACTGGCCATGTGATTTCTCTCCTGCCCCCCTCCCCTACTTTCCTGAGAGTCACCCAGGACTGCTCTGCTCAGATTAAACCTGGTCCTTTAGTTTTTAATTGGGCTCTATTTGGCTTACTGTGTTGGCGGAGAGTTTAATATCAGGGCTCGGAAACCTTGCAGTTGTCCTCTCCATCTGCCATGTAGGTCCCAGGGATTGGATTTAGGTCATCAGACTTGGTGGCACGCTGAGCCATCTTGCCAGCCCTGATATAAATTTCCTACTACAAGTTTCAGTTAAAAGTTTGAAAGCCAGTCAGGCAGCAGTGGTCCACGACTTTAATCCCAGCACTCGGAGGCAGAGCCAGGTGGATTCTGTGTGAGTTCGAGGCCATCCTGGTCTACAGAGCGAGATCCAGGACAGGCACCAAAACTACATGGAGAAACCGTGTCTTGAAAAAACAAAAAACAACAACGAAAAAGTTTGAAAGCCACTAGAAGCTGAGTGGATGGCCCAGTGGGTGAAAGCACTTGCTGTGTATACCTGTAACTCCAACACTGGGGGGCTGACACAGGAGGATTCCAAGGGCTCACTGGTCAGCTTAGTAGAAACAGGAAGCTTCTGGTTTGCTGTGGGATATTCTGTATGTAAAATGCGTTGCTCTGATTGGTTAATAAATAAAACACTGATTGGCCAGTAGTCAGGCAGGAAGTATAGGCAGGACAAGGAGAAAGGAGGATTCTGGGAAGTGGAAGGCTGAGACAGAGAGAGACGCTGCCAGCCGCCACCATGACAAGCAACATGTAAAAGATACCGGTAAGCCACAAGCCATGTGGCAACTTATAGATTAATAGAAGTGGGTTAATTTAAGATATAAGTACTAACTAGATAACAAGAAGCCTGCCACAGCCATACAGTTTGTAAGCAATATAAGTCTCTGTGTGTTTACTCGGTTGGGTCTGAGCGGCTGCGGGACTGGCAGGTGAGAGAGATTTGTCCTGACCGTGGGCCAGGCAGGACCAGGAAAACGCTAGCTATACTGGTTCAGTGAAAGACAATGCCAGAAGACACCTGACATCTTGTTCTGGCTTCCACATGATCATGCATGGTGTGTGTACCTGCACAATGAGTTATATTCAAAACACACACACACACACACACACACACACACACACACACACACACACTTACACACTTTAAAAGCCACTCTTCTGTACATAGAAAAATCTTCTCAGCAGTTAAGAATGCTGGCTAATCTTCCAGAAATCCAAAGTTCAATTCCCACCACCCACATGATAACTGTTGTCCTATGGGATCCGATGCCCTCTTCTGGTGTGCAGATGTACATGCAGACAAAACATCCATATGCACAAAATAAAATCGTCAAGAAAAAGAAAATTATAAATGACTTCATTTAATCAGAAAGCCCCGTAAGGCAGGCTGGAGAGAGATTAGAAAAATGAGGTCAACCGAGCGAATTGCTCTCAGAGGTACGCAGCAGCTGCTTGAAGGAAAGATGTGGAGCAGAACCCAGATTGTCCAACTTGTAGTGAGAAGGTTCTCACCTGCTGCTTTAGGAAGAGCTCTTCTAAGTTCCAAAAGAACAGGGATGTCAGAGAGCATCCGAGGCCTTCGGTAGTGGGCCTAATCATTAAAATTTCATATCAGGACGTTAGATAGAGTTGTAAGACTTCAATTAATTTTTCCACATTGACTTGATATATCCATAGTTCTGTGGAAATGAATAAAGGGTGAACAGAAACCAACATTCACTCAGCCAGCTTCTTTGCCCCTCCAGACAAACTGGACATGGCTCTCTCCTTTCCTCCACTAACCCCTAGAACCAGTCCAGGTGCCCCCTGGGGACATCTTCCACTGGTCCCCAGGTGGGTCTATCTGCTCTTCCGTCACCTGTTGCATATGTGTTCCCTCTAATTCTCCACCCTTCCTGTTCCATCCCACAACCCCGTCCCAGAGGCGGCAACTGTTCATTTTTGAAACGGGCAAACCACCGCCCCCGCCACAGTGTGGACCAGTTTAATACCTGTTGGCTGATTAGACAGGACACACTGGGAATTCCTCCAGAAGCAACAACGGGCTGTTGTCCAGGTGAAGGGGAAACTGAACTGCCCCTTTCCTCCTCATTATCTCAGGGGTTTTGGCTTTCCCCTGAAGGACAGCCAGCCCAGAATGCCTGAGCTTCCCAGTGTGACAGGCCACCGCCAACCCATGGAGGTGTTAGTGTGCGGCCACCTTGCAAGTCAAACTCCAAGAACCCACCACTGCCTCTGACCCCTCAGCCCTCTTAGTTTGTCCTGTCACAGCCTGCCACGAGCTGTGTCCCCAACCTTCCCAAAAAGTCATGTTGGACCCCCTTAGGACCTTGACGTCCCGTAACCTGTTCTTGAAGACTTTAATTCAGGGAGCTGGAGACGAATTACCCGATTCTTTGTATTTTTAGTTAGCACTGCAAGTGATTGATATTACCAAAGAAGGGAGAGAAATCTTGTTTCTGTCACCTACAGGGTTAGGGCAACGTTTTTCTTCAGTGGCTTTACCTTTGGGTTAACTTTAAGCCATATCACGCGCGTTCCATGAAGGAAAACAGCTGGTTTGGGGGACATTTAACACGCATCATTCAGAACAAGCGCCTTCGTTTTCGTGAGTCCAGGGACAGAGCTTTGCAGATGAAGCTGGAACTCTTAGAACTGCTCTGGTCTCACCAGGATCGTGTTCTCGAGATGACCACCAACAATATACAGCCTTCGCCGGATTCCGGGCAGGGCCGAAGGGATCAAGGAGGCTTTTTCCTTTAACAATTGTTGGCAGCTGACTCAGCAAGGAGACCTGGGCGGGTAAATGGGTCCAGCACTTTAGTCCCATTTTTCGCCAGGTCATCCTGGAGCGATGGGTGGAGCAGGAGTCACCATCAGGGTAAAGGGGGACTGACTCTGGTAGGAAGTTCCAGGGAACGTTCCTGGGAGAGGGAGCAATCGGATACTGAATTCACGAACTCTGAACCGAACCAGGGAGACCCTGGGGCCCTCAAAGTTCACTGCTTCCTCCCACGTGGAAAGAGTGAGCTACTCCTTAAAAGGCCACTTCGTAACTTTTCAGGCGGCTCGCACACGCCCTCCCGCGCTGAGCGGACCCCGCGGCGCTGACCTAGACGCTGATTCACACCGACTTCCTGCCCAGGCGCACTCCAGCCGGACGGGGACGCCGGGTGCCCGGGGGCGGAGCCAATGCCAGTCACCGGAGGCCCGCGGCCTCTCGCTCCGCAACTTCCCTACATGGAAATCGGGCCCCGGGGTCCCCGCCTCTCTCCCAGCTCTGGAATGCGGGCAAAGGAAAGCGACGGGACGGACGCAACCATCTGCTGAAAGGAAACGGGGGGGGGGGATGCAGGATCACAGTTCAAGAAGGGACGCAAGAAATGACGACGAGCCAGTCCTTAGGACAAGAGGTCCTCTCTACGACCTTTTCTGTCCTAAGTTCCTCCCTCCGTACTCCCCATCGGCGCCCTGCGCGCTCCAACTGCTCGGGCATCTTCCCCGAGGTCCCCTCCGGTCAGCGCGAGGTCTCCCCGGAGGCGGCGGAGAATGGTGGCTAGGCTTACTTCCGGCCTGCTGGCGGAGGCCGGAAGTGGCGGTCCCCGGGCTGCTGGAGAGTTGTTAGGTCGGTGGGAGAGCCGCGGTCGGCGGGGCTTCGCGGACACACCCTTGATTCCCGCGGGCTGAGCAGGGTGAGTGGGGCCGGCCGCGGGGCGTGTGGGGGCCCGTCCTGAGAGGGTGTCGTCCCCACCCGCGGGGCGGCGCGGGAACGCACCTGGGCAGGTGTGACGGCGCGATCGCGGGCTGAGCCCCGGGCTGGCGGCTGTGGGTTCGAAAGCCGCGGGGCTGGGGCGGGCTGGGGCGGCCGGGACGCAGACTCGGTTCTGTTTGCCAAGCTTGGAGCTTGGAAAATGTTGCTTAGTTCGCTGGCGCGCCGCACGCCTGGGCGACTGCCGGCGGGCGAAACCGGAGCCCTGCAGGAGCTGACTCGGGAACTATGTTGGGTTGCTAACGTAAACTTGCCAGACTGGAGGGAGTTTGCAGATAGAGCCGTACGTAGCACAGCCACCCTCTGCAGCTGTTGTTACAGCTGTGCGGCGGCGTGCAGTAGGAAGAACCCATTCAAATTGGCGGCTCAGGGTGCGCTCCTCTAATCAGAACTTTTTCTTTAAGTGATCCATGAGCAGGGAGGAGATTGGGGTTTCATTTGCTTCTCGAGGGGACTAAGTCGACTTTTACAGAGGAGTGTTTTTAGTTAGAGTCGTTCAGTCGATGCATGAAATATATTATTAGATCTTTAGAGAGATCGGTCTTAAGATTTTAACTTCTCAAAATGAAAAAGTTGTATCAAAAGGTGAAGAAAGCAAATCTTTACTAAAATTGCTGGTATTTTCTTTTTGTGGCTGGCCCTTGATGAGGATTAAATAGAAACGCATTTTATCTTCAAAAGTGAGGCGTAGTTGACAAGGCATCCTGGCAACTAATTGACTTTTTAAAAGGTGTTCAGAACTCTTGGGTGTGGCTGTCTGGGAGAGCTGACTCTCAACCGGAAGTGTGCCTAAGAAATGAAAACTTTCCTTGGGACTGAAACAGCAACTTGAAAATAACCCTTTCAAAAACTGAATTTGCAGCTCCCCCCCCCACCCCCCACCCCCACAGAGACGAAAAATCTTATCATGGGGAAAATTGGCACTGATTAAATGAGACAGATTTGAGCTGGAGTTCGAAGCAAGCCAAATACCTAGGTGTTAGCACCCTACGAGGTTCTGAGATGGGAGTTTTCTAAAGGATATATTTCCCAGTTTTAAGAGAGTTTTTCGTTAGATGGTATTTCCTAAGTATGCTTAGTTTAGATGTTCTGTTAAAGAATTTTATCTTTTACATGTATTACCAGTTTAGGAGTGTGAGATTCTACTATTTTAACTTAGGCAGTCTCACGTATAAAGTATGGATTGGTCCTTCGTATGTTTCATAGGCAGTTTTGTTGTTGTTATTTTAGATAGAGTTTAATTGTAGCCTAGCCTGGCCTAAAACATGAGATGGTCTTTCCTGCTTCAAGTGCTAGGATTATATTCCCAGTTATGAACCGCCACACCCAGCTTTAGCTTTTTCAAAACTCAAGATACTGTAGTTTCTACAAATTCTACATTTCTAAAGATTCTGAAAATTCCCTTTGCCCATGGTATGTGTAGAAAGCCTCTCTGACGATGTTTTTTGTTTTCCCCGGGTCATAGTCTGACATCTTCCTTGAGCATGAGGCTCCCATCTTAGCAAACTGCTAACACACCGGAGTGCCTGGGCTGGGGGTGTGGCTCCGCGGTAGAGTGCTCAGCTAACATGTGAGGCCCTGGCCTCCATCCCCAGAACTGCAGAACAAACAATGCACACCATCCGAGTCATTGCTGCAGCGCTGTCTCAGCTTAAAACAAGGTTCCGCTCTTACCTCCCTAAACAGATCCTCCTGACCACCTTTGACTGTCCTTCTCCTCCCGATGCTTTGAAACCCTCATGTGTTTGCCAGAAAGCCAGTCTGCAAATCTTCCGGCTTTCCAAGTCTCACCCCAAAGATCTTTCACAAAGGCTTCCAAAGTGATCTCAGGTGATCCTCCCATGCACCCCAAATAAAAAATAGTTACAACGATTATAAAATATTTGCAATTTCACTTTGCTCTAACTTTTTAAACTAACGTGAGAATTATGCCTTGCAGCTTCACTTTTTGAGATAGTTGAATGGTGTCTTAGAACCACAGCAGAGAGGAATCTACCACTGTCAAACGTGGTCTCTTTGATATCACAGCATCCACGTGATCCCTTTACCTAAGTTTATTCCAGCCATGCTTGTAGTTTGGTATGAAGAAATAAACAACTTCTGTTGTTTTGTATAGATGGGTAGCTGACCATCCCACGGCTGTGAAGCTCCAAGTTTCTGTGTTGGGAGATAAACTCTTGAATCCATCTCATCGGCTTGAAAAAGTTGAGGGCTGGGGAGTAACTTATTCAACATTACATTATCAGATTTGGACAGAATTAACTCCTTGAATTAAGATGAACATCTGACTCTTGGTTGTAAAGATAGTTTATAATTTCCAGGTGATAATGCATTGAATTATTTCGTCTCCTCTCCGATCTTGTAAAAATAAGTGAACAATTCTTAACTCTCAGTGTTTGATGATTGTATGCCACCTGATGAGTCATTTTTCTTTCTTTCTTCCTTTTTTTTTTTTTTTTTTTGGAGACGGTCTCACTATGTATCCTTGGCTGTCCTGAAACTCACAGAGATCATCTGTCTCTGCCTCCTGTTGTTGGGATTAAAAGCATTCACTGCCATTCCCAGCTTCATTATGTCATTTTTGTGCATTGTTTTAACTTGGGCGTCATACCTCTGGAATGGGAAGTATGTAGCTCATTTCGTACGTTGAACTAATCAATGCATTTCTTTGTAGTTAGTTGCCTCTCCAACTATATTTTAACTTCTTTAAGATAGGTGACATATGTGCTTTACATTTTTAACTTTTGACTAGTGTTCAATGCTAATAACATTTGATATACATTAATATAATTAGCTGGTCCTAATACAGTCATTTGAATTAAGCATGGGATGGGCTAAAGTTCTGGGTGAAGTTGTTGTGAATCAGCCTGTTGTAACCGACCTTCAGATTATTGGGCTTGGTGCTGAACGTCTGCTTATTCTTAATCAGGAAACGGGAACAGTTCCGAACCACCATCCATTGTAGATGGCAGACGTGGCAGCGCTCCTTTCCCTATGGTGGCCAGAGACAAAAAGAGTGCATTTACTAATTTTTAAATTCATGGTTTAAATATTAGGAAATATATTCTTAAAAATCACATGTTACTTTTAACATGTTAAGCATTTTTATAAAGAAATTTTAAGGGTACCCCCATCAAATTTAGTTTTACATGAAATTTTTGTAGATTAAAAATTCACCTTCGTCAGCCATTTGACCTGTGATTCTCCTCAGTTCTTCTGTTCTTAAAATAACTGACATTCCTGTGTCATTGGAGGAGGGGAAACAATGCTGTCATACAAAACAGGCTCTTTTGGAAGATGACTTTTGACTTGCAAAGGCATGTTATGCTTAAAATATAGAAGAGGTATGAACTAGTAAGTATGTGTCCCTCACTGGTCTCAACTCTCACTGAAGTTCTTGAGTGCATTTTAAGAGGCAGTAATAATATTCTCCATAACACCTTGTCATTGACCATTTAGAGCAGGAGGAAAGAATATAACTTTGTGTATTAAATGAGATGTACAGCCTCCAAACTATATTAGAGTGAAAATACACATTCATGAACGCTTTCAGTGGGTTATAAAAGACAGTCTCCCAAAGGATAAATAGAAGTGGGGAAATTGAGAATATATAATTACTGAGACTTTATGAGAATATATAATGTCTTTCCAAAGACATCCTTCTGTACTGCCTAATGTGCTGTAGTAAATGAACTGGGTTTGTGACTAACCAGCTTTTTAAGAATTTCCTACTGGCCGGGCGGTGGTGGCGCACGCCTTTAATCCCAGCACTCGGGAGGCAGAGCCAGGCGGATCTCTGTGAGTTCGAGGCCAGCCTGGGCTACCAAGTGAGTTCCAGGAAAGGCGCAAAGCTACACAGAGAAACCCTGTCTCGAAAAACCAAAAAAAAAAAAAAAAAAGAATTTCCTACTAAAATCTGAAACCAGATTGACATATAAAGTAATGTGAGCAGAGCTTTTCTGATTGTTTCCATAATTGTTTGTACTCTGTTGATGTGGTGTAATCAAGAATGTCAGAAATAGCTTCTTCTTCTTCTTTTTTTTTTTTTTCCACTCATAGGAAACATTCTAAGGGTCACTTTGGGTGCTGGAATCTAGGTAGCGGTTCATTCTTTGCAGTCCACAGGCTTATTTTTAGAGCAAGGGCATGGTGCTTTGCGCATCATGGCTAAATGTTGTTTTCAGAACGTAAGCTTTAAAATTGTTATCTTGGTCAGAGTGGAGTCAGTGGTGCCCGTTTTAGCCCTGCCGGGGGAATATAACTCCACAGTGACTTAGTCTTGCTGATCAGGACTTTGCAGGCTGTCATCTCCAGCTCACCTCTGAAGAATGGTATGCTAGAATTTTATTATCTGATAGATGTGGGGTTCTCCACTTCAGACATTTTATATTGTTTTAAAGTTGCATGTTCACAGGAAAAATACATTTTCATCTTACGTATTAGATGTTCTTTTAAGTTTTACAGGGATAAATTTATTAGAGAGCAAAAATAGTATCTGTGATTTTAAGGTGTTCTTTAAATGAAATTGCTTTACAGCTTGTGCTCTGATTTCAAAAGAGAAGTCTTAGTTATATCCAGTGTTGAGTGCAGAACAGGTCTGTATAAAGTACAGTCTGTAAGACTTAACTCCTGGTGAATTAACTTCAGTTTCTATGCTTTTATGTTAGCCTTTCAGCAAACTGTTCTTGAACTACATTGAATCCATAAATGAGAGTGTAATCTGAAATGTTTTCTGAATGGAAGAACAGCATTTGTCAGTAGAGATTGGGAGGGAGACCTGTCCACTGGTCTTTCTTTCTCTGATGGACTAGAACTGCTATTTTAGGGGTGAGCTGCAAAAGGCTAGGCTTTTGAACATGAATTAGTACCTCCTAGCAACCCTGTAGTGCTAATGTATAAGAACTGCTACTGTTTTCCATGTATCTAAGGTCCCCCAACACACACACACACACACACACACACACACACACACACACACACACACACACACACACACAC